AGTGTGAAAGGCTGGGCATTGAATAAAATTGTATCATATTAACTGGTCATTTAAAAACCAAAATCATGTTGAATTTGATGAGTTGGTTTCTGTTGACCATGATTTCAGATGAAGTGTAAGTCCTCTAGTTTATTCTTCTCGCCACATCCGATTTCTATAAAATTGTTTTGCCTTGAGCAGCCCAAGTTTTCCAGTTTTAACTGCTCTACCAAAGAGCATGATGCAAACACAGGAGAATTTGTATCAGAAGTTTCAGTATCTTGAAACTGGAATGTGGATGATTCATGAGTTTTGCATCAATTATTAAACAGTCATAGATGAAGATACACAGCGATGGATGGGGCAGTAACGTATTCTGGTTACACCTACTGGCTTAGCAGTGATAAATGAGTCAGGAAACCAGAAGATCAAAACAGGCATCAACTCGAGCTGCAATGGCAAAGGCTCTGAAATTAGTTAGACAGTTGCTATATATAAACAACCTACTATATAGAGCAGCGGACTGGCAGGATTAAAATAGATAAGGACTAGCAAGAGGACTAAGGAATTTCAGAATCCTGCTGTACCAATCACCCATTTTCTTAAAAGATTCTTGAGGGCAGCATAACACCAATAATGATAACACTTGGGAAAAAGGGAGACATTTTTATTAGCTGGAACCATGCCTGATGTCCCATAAGTACTGTCTTGGATCACGTGGCTTAGACTTGAGCCTGAATCTCTGTGTGTGTGTGTGTGTGTGTGTTGTGTTTCTTTCCCCTGTGCCTGGCTATTCCAAATCCCCACACCTGGCCTCAGTGTTATGTTCTGATTGGGTCACAGACTCCATTGCACCAGGTTGCCTGGACACATGCTCTCTAGTAGGCATTGTTCCTTTTATCTTTCTCCTTCCATGATACACATTTTTGTATGTGATAAATACTCTATGTGCATATCTATGGTTCCTAAGATATTACATATGTGTCCTTAGCATCCCGGCCAGCCAGTGTGGTTCGGTGGTTGAGTGTTAACCTATGAACTAGGAGGTCATGGTTCCATTCTGGATCAGGGCACATGCCCAGGTTTCAGTCTCAATCCCCAATGGGGGGCATGCAGGAGGCAGCCAATCAATGATTCTCATCATTAAGGTTTCTATCTCTCTTTCCTCTCAGAAATCAATAAAAATATATATTTTTCAAAAGTACTATAGCTTCCAAGCAATAATTGCCTTTAAGAAGGGTCTTGGGACAATGCCTTAACCCAGTGGTTGGCAAACTCATTAGTCAACAGAACCAAATATCAACAGGAAAACGATTGAAATTTCTTTTGAGAGCCAAATTTTTTTAAACTTAAACTATATAGGTAGGTACATTGTTATTAACTTAATTAGGGTACTCCTAAGGCTTAGGAAGAGCCACACTCAAGGGGCCAAAGAGCCGCATGTGGCTTGCGAGCCACAGTTTGCCGACCACGGCCTTAACCTAAAGGTATTACTCTCATGGTAGGGGCTGTCGGTGTCATGGTAGTTGGGGCCCAGTGGTCTTTCCTAACAATTTTTTAAAAATCTATTTTTACTGATATTTTTCAGAGAGGAAGGGAGAGAGAGTGAGAAATAGAAACATCAATGATGAGAGAGAATCATTGATTGGCTGCCTCCTGCTGCATGCCCCACACTGAGATCAAGACCGCAATCTGGGCATGTGCCCTTGACCGGAATTAAACCTGGGACTCTTCAGTCCACAGGCGGACACTCTATCCACTAAGCCAAACCAGCTAGGGCTTTCCTAACAATCTATAATAATAAAAGGGTAATATGCTAATTAGACCGGACGACCTTCCGGACTAAGCTGCGGCACCGTGGGGCCATGGCAGAGGCAGCTGCTGCAGCTGCGGGGTCCAAGCCCCTTGCACAAATTTCGAATTTCATGCATCAGGCCTCTAGTTTGTAAAGAATATGGATAGCATGCACATGTGAAAGAACATTTTAGCAAATACAAAAACAATGTATTCTTTTCTAAAGGCTGAGGGAATAGTGAGTAAAAATAGATGCACCAGGCAGAATTTATTTGTAGAGGCTTGAGTGCAGATGATTATTTTTGAAGATGGTGATAGAAACATGGTGGAGTGGGGTGGAGTGGTGCACGTTTTAGTTGAAGTGACTTGGAGGGCAGGGACCTTGAAGCTTGTGTCCATGGAGCCTAGAAGAATGCTTTGTACATCCTGTGCAGTGATGAGTAGTATAAATAAATGAACAGATCCATGCCTGAGAATTATTGATTTAAAAAATATATCCTACCTTGTTTTGACCTGTGTGGATCTTAAAGGGAGAAGAAGGACATTTTCAGAGAGTCTGGGCACAAAGGCAATGTATACGGCAACTGAGAAAGAGAGTTTTGTTTCCCTTGGAGTGACATTTTCTTGGAAACTGAGCCAGAGGCTGACCTTGGGAAAAGCTGCTTGACTCTTCTGATACCCAACTTCCCAAAAGGAAAAGCCCATCCTTTAGTCCTCAATGCGTGGACCCTGCCACCCACCCAGAACTCCGTGTTAACATTGCTGGGAGAGGAAGGACGTGAACTGCACTTAAGTAGCCTTTAGCCCTAAAGACAGGAGTGGGGCGCTGTTAACCCCCAGGCCTGGTCTCCCCACCACTCAATCATTATTCCCCACTACCCTTTTCTCTAGAACCCGTTTGTGTCTTCAGCAGTTTGAGGGCTCTGACTCACTCCGTAGTACCCCACAGAAGCCTGAAAGAAAAAAGAAATGGCCTTGTCTTCATTAGGTTCCACCCAAGTCAGGAGTCTCCGTGAATAACCCCATTGCTCACCACTCATTGAAAAGCCAGTAGCAGTCCCTAAGAAATGTATCCTAGCACTCGAGTGCTTTGCGGAGGCAGTGCAAACACTAAGCAGCCGCCTTCCCTCCTCTGTACATGAGCGTGCTTAGCTAAGATGCACCAACTGTGACAAAGAAACGTGGGCAAGTAATTCACTTGAGGTGGTTGGCTCCCCAGCCCTGCTGGGCTTCCTTCCTCCTCAGTGGGCACTTGTTCGAGAAATGGGCCTCCTCCGCTTGCATTAGGAACGGGATAAGCACTCGCTTATTTCATGTTTCCTTGAGGTCGCATTCATTTGGAGGGCTCTTCCTGAGGGAACGGACTAGATCTCTGGTTGAGATCATCAGGAAGGAATGGGGTGGTCTTTTCTGAAGGAAGACTATAGACCAGGCGTCACAAGCTGGTGACTCACACACCACATTCAGCCCACAGACAAGATTACACTTTTTTTAAATGTCCTGGTGTTGAAAAAAAGAATTAGTTGTCCATATATAAAATTGAAGAGATTTTGCATAAAAATCTTGATTTCCAACTTCTTTGAAAAAGACCAGAATATCTGCCAACGCTCGCAATAGTTGATGGCCACAGTTGGCTTAAGCCGAGCAGCCACTTGTCCCCTAAGAGAGGACACAAGCTTCCTACTGCATCTGGTTTTCTTCACTCCATTTTACCTAGTGCTCCTGTAGAGCTTTGCATTTGCTGTCCTGGGGTCAGTCGCCTAAGAGGCCCAAACAAATCATGAATTGGCCCAGGCCGGGTGGTTCAGTTAGTTGGAGTGTCCCATACACCCAAAGGTTGCAGGTTCGATCCCAGGTCGGGTCATACACAGGAAGCAACCCATCAATGTTTCTCTCTCTCCCTTCCTCTCTCTCTACAGTCAATAAAAAACATATCCTCGGGTGAGGATTTTTTTTTAAAAAAGCAATCATGAATTGCTCTTTTAAATGTGCCCAGCCTGAAAGTGACTATGGTTTGTGCCTTTTTCTTTTCCCTTCTACACAAAGGATGACCATTAAGAGCATTATCATCTGTGGAACAGGACAGTTATGTGCAAAGTGGAGAATTGTACACTACTTACCTGAATAAGTCAGGCATACCAAGAAAATCCTGAAACGATGATATTAATGTAAGATTTGAGATGTGAACTATTCAGAGGCAATTGCCTTCATTTCCCAGCTCACTGTTTCCCCTCTGCTTTTCTCACATGGACATAATCCTCAGAATGTTCCTCTGTCAAAGGCCATGGTCATAATTCCCCTCCCCCCCTCACCACCCCTTTTTTTAGAACTTATTTGAACTCTCAGGAGCAATTGTTGAAGCCCTGCAAGGGAATAATTGCACAAGAATTAACCTCTGACATGTTTCTAAAAATAGCCCTAATAAATCCCATCATAGGTAATTTACCTGTCCGTATTCCTCCGGGGGTAACCGGCGTTGAAGAAAGACTTGGCAGGCTGGCGTTCGCTCAGCAATTATCGGTGATCTGAGTTCCTGGCGCCTGTGTATTTTCTCTCTTGGGAAACACAGAGGACAAATTGCCCTCTGACTTCCCCTCTGACTCATGACCGTTTCCCCAGCACCCTTCACCTGGGGTTGGAATAAGGCGTGCTCTTCCAGAAAGGAGTGTTGGGCTCACCAAAAAAAGAGGTACCACGGGGTCAAGCTGGAGCATTTGTGGGGTCCTTCCATGAGTTTCCAACTTGCAAAGGTTGCCAGTGTTTTTCCATGTCTGAGCTTCAGGCATCCCCAGCCCTCGTTTGCATAGCCACCACAGAAACCTGTGTGGGGCAGTGCCTCGGTATAGAAGAAAAGGAAATGCAAAGAGGCCAGGAGTGGGTACAGGCTCCATGGCTGGTAGAAACTTTTATCAAAGAGTATGGCCATTTCCATGAGCCTTAAGGAAACTCATTTTCTCTTGCCCAACATAAAAGGGTCTGAACGTGCTGCTTCCTTTTGTTCTCGCCAGATGTTCCAGGAGACCACAGCGCAGTGTGGGCATCTAGGAAATGTACTTTCCCAAGAGCCGCTTCTCGCAGCACTTAAAATACAGAACATAAAGCCCTTGCAAATTCCACTGCAGAGACAAAGCCCTGAGCCCTTAAATGCACAGAAAAGTGTGTCTATGATCTGTCGTTTCAAAGCAAGTGTGCAGTTACTTAAATTGCCTTTGTCTTCTTCTTTTCAGCTGACATTATCTCTACGGTAGAATTCAACCACACGGGAGAATTACTAGCGACAGGGGACAAGGGGGGTCGGGTTGTAATATTTCAACGAGAGCAGGAGGTAAGTGGCAAGTGACTGCAAAATGCCCCTTTCCTTCCCTTTTTAGCGGAGGCCTCCCGCTGTTCCTTAATCCTCCCGTGTCCCCCTTCACCTTGCTGCTTTGCTAGCCAACTAAAAACTGCCAAGAAGTCATTAACATCAACCGTTCCACCTTCCGGCTCATGAAAGCACCTGAAAATAGAGCCTTTCCTGGGCACGGCCTTATCTTTTCACGTTCTCACGTCTCATCTGACCTGCAAAATGCCACGGGTGCTTTTTGAGCATAACTCCTCCCTTCGGAGTGAAATTCATCCTGGAGTGATTAAAATGAAGCCTCTGCTCCTTTCAGGGGCTCTCACAGAATATGTAGGAGGAAGAAACGGTTCTTTGTCCACAGCTGTGAAAGGGACAACTTGGGTCAGTGGAGAAGAAAATGGTAGCTCACCCCACCAAAGGGAGTTCAGTCCCACAAAATGACATCTGAGCGATGCACAGGGCACACACTTTACTGTGGGTGACTCGAAGGTCCCTGAGCTGAGTGCTGTGTGCTTTCCGAGCGGGAGTTTTAATTTCCACTGAATCTCAAAAAGCCCCTTTCTTCCTGGGACTTGGGTTCCACTAGGAATTGTGTCTCTTTTTCATATAAATTGCGTTTCGGGGTGTCTGTTTCTGCTTTGTCAGAAGGGAAGCATGGCCCGATGTGATTGCCTTGGCTTCCCCTGGCCTGGTCCTGGGGCTCCCAGCAGGCCAGCCTGTGTGCTAGTAACGCTCCCATCTGCTACCGTCTGCCTCCGAGACTCACCCAGCACAGCGTGGGGAGGCCGAGTGCAGGAGGAAGGGTTCAGCGGAGACTTCCCTAGCAATTGAGTGCCTGCTTTGTGCCTCCAAGCCATTTATGTTCCACCTCCCCTCAAAAAAAGGAAAGCCTCATTTAGAGGTGATGTATTTGGTAATTGCACATTATTTGCAATTAATTTCTATAAGGGCATCCTAATCCCCCGGGGTTCTGTAGAAATTCAAGTGTTCAGCATGAAGTCAGGCACCCAGCCTGTTCCACTGGTCCTGGAAACAGGGAAATGGGCTTGGCAAGTAGGAACTAATAGCTCTTCGTGACCTGGAATTTTTCCTGCTTTTCCAGAGCTGCCGAGTGCTAATTGGTCTGGCACATACGGCACACACTTGACAGTCTGATTTGGATGGTACCAAATCAACATTCGGATGAATTTATTGTTAAGGTGGACTGGCGCTCTCCGCAGTAGGCAGGCTGGTTACATGTCTGTCAGTCAGCGTGGCAAGTCCTCTTCAAGCTGATTTTCAAACTTTCTTCTTCAATTTGAAAAAAAAAAAAATCCCATTAGGTTCATGGTGATGATAAAGAGGAACCGGAGGAGCTATTTAGCATAAATTACCCTGGGCAGTGTGTTGCCAGTAATATTCCAAACCACATTTTCCCTTTGCTATTTATAGGTTCCACCCATTTTAATTTACTGGAATATGTGGGAAGCCTGATTCATTAGTAGAATGAAGGGGGACACGTTTTCCCAAGGAGAGTGATTTGGTTCAATAAAAAATAAATGTCCAGTATAATAACACGCAGTTGAGTGTTGAGCTCTGTGGGGAGGCGTGGGGTTGAAATGGGCACTAAGCCTCAGAAACGAAGCCATGGGACACCGAGGTCAGGTGTGTTTTCCGTGTCTGTGAGTGACTTCTTAAGAGCCGCAGTCCTGGAGGGCTTGCTGGAGGAAGGAACCTCAGTGCCCTCACAAATACATGGAACACCTGGGCGTCAGCACCCATCAGGAAGTGGATTTTGGTTTGGATATTCAGTACCCAGAAATCTAGGTGTTTTTTTTTTGTTTAATTGAGCCTTTATTACGAGTCAAGCTTTTGTGACAAATGTCTATAAAGACCTGGATTGGAATTTTGAACACAGTTTTCCAAAGCCTGGCCCTTAAAACTCTTGGTAGTCACGTTCTAAAATGCCTGAAACGAAACCTCCCCTCCCTCTTTTCCTTTCTGCTCTTTCTTTGTTTCACGCCCTCTTTTTCCTTCTCTCCGCCTTTCTCCTTTCCCTTGCCCCTTTCTGCAGACCCTTCCCCTGATGTTTCATTCTCTCACCATTTATTTAGCTCCTTCTGTTTGCCTGTTGCAGAATCAGAGCTAGGAGAAAGCCAGGGCTGAGGTCTCATCACCTCCCCATGATGCAGGTGTCACCCCTGTGCTCCTGTCTGTTTTGTTTCCCATGTTAGAAAAAAGGGGGGGTGGAGAGGGATCTGATGCCCAGATCTGCTCCTTAGAAGTCCTGTGACCTTGGAAGATATCTCTGAGCCTCCTTTGTCCATTTCCCTGCTCTTCCCACGTCTCCAAGATTCTCTGAGAATCTGGGGAGACTTTAAAAGGCCAATGAAAGGTACAGATGCCATAGCTTTGCACTCTTTGTAAGGGATTGATAGACATACATATGGACATCAGCATGGGTCCAAAGGGTGTTCAAGACATCCACTAATGCAGAACGAAAATATTAGAACTTCTGTTTATATTGATTTTTAAATGTATATTCATTTTAAAATCATGTCCTAGTTTAACTTCTGTTTCTATGTATATGTTACGATGTATACCATATATTATAGAATTTTATGTATATCATTTAGGCCTGTATGGATATTGGAGATACTGATAGTCACCAGCAGCTGCAAGATCAGATGCTTTGGAGGCCTGTGAGCTAAGGCAAAACTTGTGGCTCTCATGGTCCTGCCCTCATCCCACGCTGATGGCCTGCCTATCCATCCCTAATGATTCTGCTCAAAAAAAAAAAAAAGAAGAAGAAATTGGTGAATTCACAGGTGGCCTATGTGATTTAATCTTTCGTGTATTCCCCTCCCCCTGCCTTTTTTTACAGAGCAAAAATCAGGTTCATCGTAGGGGTGAATACAATGTTTACAGCACGTTCCAGAGCCATGAACCCGAGTTCGATTACCTGAAGAGTTTGGAAATAGAAGAAAAAATCAATAAAATAAGATGGCTCCCCCAGCAGAATGCAGCCTACTTCCTTCTGTCTACTAACGGTACGTACAAGTGACTGCTCCTATTTGGTATTGTCGGAGATAGAAGCAGCCACATCATATGTTTCAGTCTCTCTTAGACTCCATTTTCCTTCTTAACCTTGTGGGCTGTCAAAAAAACTTAGCAACAATCTTTGCAAGATGCTTACCTTAGTGCCTGGCGCAGAGTGGGCCCTCAGTGAATAGTAGGGATTCTTTTTAAATATCACACATTTCTGACCCAATTATGTGAGCCCCAGTATCTGCAGTTTTTGACTAATGCAGATTATTTCCAGGTGCTTCTGGAATGTGACTTCCTGTTTTAAGATTCATTGAATGTTTTTCTGGGAACGCATTTCAGGAACCCCGGACAGGCCGTCCTGTGAGTCTGGCATACTGAGTAGAAGTTATTAATCCCTGAATGTGTTTGGGGTTTTTTCTCTCTCTGACACAATCAAGTTCTCTGAGCACAAGTCAAGGAGAGAGAGGGATCCTACCAAAGGATGATTAAGAAGTGGTTTCTTTCTCTTTCTCCCTCCATGCTCTTCTAAGAGCAATTGTTGATTTCGGGAGAGTTGCTATAAATAGGTCCAGGAGAGAGGAGGTTGGGGGTTGACTAGAGAGCCAAATTCCATGCTAATTCAGTGGAATTACCTACCCTAGCGTTTCTCAATGCCATTGCTGACAGAAGCCCACCTATGCTTGAAACAATTTAGAATAAAAGCATATACTAAAGGGTGCTAATTGAATAGCATAGCAATTAAGAGGATTAGTGGATACAAATTAAACACCCTCTCCCAAGCAAATAAGCTGGAGCCTGATTCATTGTGTGTGAGTCTGTGAGGAGTGTACATTTAAATATGGGTCAGAAAGCGAGGGATTCGCTATTTGCCCATCCCCAGCATTTATAAAGGGAAGTGCGCATATGTCAAGTGAAAAAAATGTAAATACTGTATATAGTATGATCAGACGTATATTAACATTTTTAAAGACTAAAAGGAAACATACCTAAAGGCTTACCATGATTAATTTTTGATTATGTATTATGGGTTTCTTATAAATTTATTCTTTTTATCACTTTTATTTTCTAAGTTTTGATGATGAGTTTTATATTTTATTTTAAAAGGAGGGAGGGGTTTTCTTAATGCGTATGAACCAAAAATCCCTCAAATATGAAACCAGTGTACAACTGTAAAAAAAATGGCAATTCTGAAACAGCCAGTTTGGAGTTATTCACGCATGGCTTATCTCAACATGTCCAGATTTCCAGTCATCTGTTTTTCCAGATTCCAAGTAATTTAATTCTTTCTCATAACTGTATTTATTGTTCTATTAATTTTGTGAACTATGTTTCTTGAAAGCCAAACCATATGAATTTGTTTCAATGTCTTCCCTCTTAGTTTTACCATTGAATTTCACTCAAAGGCTCTGCAGATTCAACACTACTTAGATTAAAAAAGACTTCTGATGATTCCGACTTAATTACTTTGGGCAGAGAAAGTGTCTGATTATCTGCTCTAGCTAGCTTACTTTATATTATGAAATTTAGCCTATTGATTATTACAATAAAATTCAAAGATGCATTAACTCCTTTGTGGGGGGGGGATGGGAAAAAATCAGTGAAATGCAATGAAGATTAATTATATAGCATAATGTTCTGTTAATTGAGTTTTTAAATAGTTTTTTGATTAACAAGGATATTATCTTCCCATTTGGGATGCTATTTCATATGCCAACAGCATCTCCAAATGATTCTTATAAGAAAAATTCCCACGTTCTCCTGGGATTTTCTTTTTTATACTAATATTGAGGTTGAGAATTCCCCTTAAGCCAAATAGGTTAACATGCGAAAATTAATGGGAGACAATTGGAATTACTGTACAAAAGAGAAAATGAAGATAGATGATAAGATTGTGTTTAAAAGCTGCCACAAGTAATGATAAACCACTCAGAGAGCCAGCCATAATATAGAAAAAGTCATTACTCATAGTAACAGCCACCTGTTTGTTCCTCAGACGTCCTTATCCACAAAGCTTTCAGAGAGGGAGTCAAGAAACACTGTGTGATAATAAAGTCAAGAATGACTCCAGGCAACCCAACCATTGGGGAATTGGATTGAATTCGCCATCAATTATCTTTTTTTAAAGAAACACAACTGTGCTTATCTCATTATAATTGGATACAGTTTTTACTTTCTGTTAGAATATAACTTTACAATTTCTAATGAAAAATAAACCAACATTCGGTTGTGAATCTAGACCTTAAAATTATTTGCGAGATGAAAAGATGTTGCCTTGCCTAGCTTTCTATTTCTGTCTTAGTACCTATGATGAGAAGGGAAGGTATATTTTACTTGATAGATGGGCTATGAAAATAGTTAGGTGTTCATTGCAAAACCATTAGAAGATAGAGAAGCAAAATAAAAATAATGTGTTCCCATCCAGAGAGAACCACTGTGTCTTTTAAAGAAAACACCAAAGAGGCATGGATAAATCTGTTTTTTATTAGCAGAAATGTGGTATATTCTGTACACTGTTTGACAACCAGATTTTTTTATGTAATACTTAATAACAGGAATATCTTCCTAACTGTTAAATATTCTCCTAAAATTCCATAACATTTTCAAGGACTGCATAGCATTCCCCTGTATGATTCTTCTATAGTTTACTAATATCTCCCATTATTAGACCTTTAATTATTAAATTCTCACTATTAGAAGTTATATATTTATAGGAATAGATGTTGGAATAGATAGATATGATTAGAAAAAAACATACTCATAAACTATGTATAACATGTTGTATCTATTTAAAACAGTTATGTGATTGCTCACAGAAATGAAAGGACATACTAAGGTTTTCATACTAGATATCTCTGTCTAGTGCAGTGGTTTTCAACCTTCTGGCCCTTTAAATACAGTTTTATTGTTGTGACCCAACCATAAAATTATTTTCGTTGCTACTTCATAACTGTAATGTTGCTACTGTTATGAATCGTAATGTAAATATCTGATATGCAGGATGGTCTTAGGCGACCCCTGTCAAAGGGTCGTTTGACTGCCAAAGGGGTCGCGACCCACAAGTTGAGAACTGCTGGTCTAATGGAATTGAGGGAGATTTTCATTTTTTTACTTTTATGCTCATTTTTATTTTCTACAATCCTATCCTATATAATAAAAGGGTAATATGCAAATTGACCCTAATGGTGGAATGACCTGGAACAACCAGTCGCTATGACACATACTGACCACCAGGGGGCAGAAACTCAATGCAGGAGCTGCCTCACCTCACCCACCCCTCCACTCCCTGTCAGTGCACTCCCACAGGGGGAGCTATGCTCAGCCACAAGCCGGGCGCAGTGGTGGTGGCAGGAGCCTCTCCCGCCTCCTCAGCAGCTCTAAAGATGTCCAACTGTGGCTTAGGAATGGGTCTAAGCTGTAATCGGATATCCCCCGAGGGCTCCCGGGCTGCCAGAGGGATGTCTGACTGCCAGCTTAGGCCCGATCCCCAGGGAAGCGGGCATAAGTTGGCAGGTGGACATCCCCTGAGGGGGCCCAGAATGCAAGAGGGCACAGGCCAGGCTGAGGAACCCCCCCCCCCCCCAGTGCATGAATTTTCGGGCACCGGGCCTCTTGTTATATAAAAAATATACACTTTGTATAATAAAAAGAAGGAATTAAAATGAGAAAATAAACATATATATGTAATATTATTGGTTTTTATTTCTCCCCCAAAAAAATGCATAGAAAAAAAAATACTAAGAGGATCTATGCAAAATGTTAACAATGATTGTCCCTGACTGAAGAGATTATAGGTGATTTTTATTCTTTTTTTAATATATTTTATTGATTCCTCACAGAGAGGAAGGGAGAGGGATAGTTAGAAACATCGATGAGAGAGAAACATCGATCAGCTGCCTCCTGCACACCCCCCACTGGGGATGTGCTCACAACCAAGGTACATGCCCTTGACTGGAATCGAACCTGAGACCCTTCAGTCTGCAGGCCAACGCTCCATCCACGGAGCCAAACTGGTCAGGGCGATGATTTTTATTCTTTATGCTTTACCTATGATTTCTCTATTTCTCCACAGAGCAATTATCACTCACAAGAAAAATGTAAGGAAAGAATTGCCTTGCAAATGGGATGGGATGCATTCCAAAGGCAAGCAATTGAAAGTATTTGGTGTTAAAAGTCACTGATTTGCATTCTTCTAAGTCACAGTTGATCAGTACCTAATCAAGTGACTGTATAAATATGGCCCGTATTTCCTTTTTGTCACAGTTCCGTGTGTAGCAGGATATCCAGAGAGGGCAGGACTAGAGGAGTGCCAGCACATAGTGCCTGGGAAGGCCTTCCTGGCCCTCGCCCCAGGATAGCCGGTGCGTGCACAGATCTCACACGAGCAGCCTGGCCAGGCTGCCAGCAGCATGACCAGCCCGAGTGACCCCCAGACCTTAGGAAACAGAGGCACTTACTTGTTCAATTGTCCAAATTGTTGTAGAAAGCCCACTTCCCAATGGGGTGCGTTTCAGACCTCCGAGGACAAGGCTTTGGTGAGGGGGGGGGGGCGGGGGCAAGAGAGAAGGGGAATCCTAGGGAAGACAGGGAGAGGGCGGCTTCTCTCCCCAGACAGTCTTACACAGAGGACGTAGGATGTGCTGACATCATCCTGGGGGAAGCTAATGCCGTCAGCGCAACAAGTTGTTATTGCAGAATAGTTGCCCAACTTGCTCATTCTAATAACAGCTGCCATTGTGAACCACTATTAGAAGCCCAACACTGCGGTACACACTGTAGCCACAGTGTTTCATTCAATCCTCATAAGAGCCCCGTGAGGAAGGCCTGGCTTTCCTTAATTTACAGATAAAGAAACTGAGGCAGCCCTAACCAGTTTGGCTCAGTGGATAGAGCGTTGGCCTACGGACTGAAGGGTCCCAGGTTTGATTCCGGTCAAGGGCATATATCTTGGTTGTGGGCACATCCCCAGTAGGGGGTGTGCAGGAGGCAGCTGATCGATGTTTCTCTCTCATTGATGTTTCTAACTCTCTATCCCTTCCTCTCTGTAAAAAAATCAATAAAATATATATTTTTTTTAAAAAGAAACTGAGGCACTTTATTTGTAAGATTAGAATATTCGGGACATATTTGTACTGAAAAATTACACGTTATCTGAAATTCAGATGTAACTGTGTGTTCTGTAGTTGTTTCTCTGCTCAATCTGGTAGTCCCATTTGTTTGTCACTCAAGAAATACTAGCTAGGCGCCTGCTGGGTGGGGATCACAGTGCTGGGCCACGTGGCTGGCTGGAGTTGGCGTGGGGACGGGGCCGAGGTTGTCTGGTTCCACACTTACCTTGTGCAGGCATAGAGAAAGATTTGAGAAGGCACCGAGCCCCTGCCTTCCAGAAGAGAAGTTAGAACAAGTACAAATTATGAATGTAGGATCTGATAAGGAAGGCTCCCAAAGGCCCAAAGCCCACAGGCATGATCTGTTTGGCCCGAACATGTTTCTTTATAAAATGGAATGGAACGTCTGCAGGTGGGGCATGCGGTCTCTACCTCCCCCAAAACCCCTTGCTCCTGTCACTCATCTCCTGACCTGCCCCACCCCTCTAGGCATTGGACTTCTCACCACGATTTATTGCTGTAGAAAATGACAAGTGTCAGCAAGTGGAATAAAGGGTGGGGACAGGACAAAGGTGAGAAAGGTAGTTTCCAGGTGGGGACTCCGAGGAGACTGCAAGGGGAAAGGAGCATTTTGATGACTCTCCTTTTATTTCCCTGGGTTGCTAGCAACAAGCAGTGTGCAGGTGAGATTCATTCATCCATCCAACTCGTAGTCATTGAACAACTGCTCTGTCCCAGGCACTATTGTCGGTGCTGGAGGTATAGTAATGAGCAACACAGTCAGAATCCCTGCCTCTCTATTGATTTTACATTCTAGTGAAGGAGACATAATAAGTTTTCCAGTAGTGAAGTGTCCTAGGAGGAAACACAAAAGAGGAAGAGGGGCTAGAGCAGTGGTTCTCAACCTTCTGGCCCTTTAAATACAGTTCCTCATGTTGTGACCCAACCATAAAATTTTCGTTGCTACTTCATAACTGTAATGTTGCTACTGTTATGAATCGTAATGTAAATATCTGATATGCAGGGTGGTCTTAGGTGACCCCTGTGAAAGGGTCGTTCGACCACCAAAGGGGTCTCGACCCACAGGTTGAGAACCGCTGGGCTAGAGAATGATGAAGAAAACCTTTTTATGTAGGTTGGTTAGGAAAGGCCCCACTGAAGTTGGGGCATAGGGAGAGAGCAAAGTGAAGGAAAAATAACGTGCAAGAGAGGGTAAAAGGCTCCCCTGGCAGAAGGCACAGCTTATGCAAATGTCCTGTGGCAGCAATGAGATTAGCATGTAGCAAGAGCTGTAAGGAAGCCATGTGGCAGGGAGTAGGGTGGATGGTGAGATCAGAAAGGATGAGGAAATAGGGGTGCAGGTCATGGAGAGCCTCTTGGACCACGGGAAGGGCAGTGTTTAGTGAAATGCAACACACAAATGGGAATAATAATAGTATCTACCTCTCAAGGTACTTGTGAACATTCAATAAATTCTCCATGCAAAGTGCTAGCATCGTTAATTTTATATATGTAGCTACTCTTGTTATTCTGTGTTCAATAAATATTTTTATGGAATGAACAAAATTAATGTCTAAGCTGTAGATTTAACAGCCCATTGTCAGGAAGACCATCTGTCTCTCCATGATAGATGTTTTTTTGTTTTGAAACGTGAACTCTGCCTTCAAGTGACACAAGATTTATGCACCGAAGCCCTTGACATGAGCCAGCTTCTGTGGCAGTTTCTTCCATTTGTACCTCCGCCTCTCCCGATCCTCCCGGGCCCGACCCAGAAGAAAACTCCTCTCCCAGCGTTCCCGCACTGTAACGTTGATGTCCTCTGGTTTCCCTCCACAGATAAAACTGTGAAGCTGTGGAAAGTCAGCGAGCGCGATAAACGGCCGGAGGGTTACAACCTGAAAGATGAGGAGGGCCGGCTGCGGGATCCTGCCACCATCACAACCTTGCGGGTGAGTCCAAAGGCTGTTTTTTTTGCCACCGTCTTGGTGCCTCCTGAGGTTGGCCACATGCTGGCTGTTGTGAATGTTGCAACTGTGATGTGAGAGGGAGGGAGATCCAGCAGAGACTCACCTACCCGAGACTCTGGTAGCAGATGGGGGAGCAGGACAGGTGCCAAGCTCCACTGACCACAAGTCCATGCATTTCCTTGGTCCACGTGGCCAGTGCCATGTGTTACTGTATGCTTTGCCTCGGTCTGTTCTCATTACCTAAACATCTTGAGCATCTTTTGTACTCAAGATACAGGGGATGGGACTACCCAGAAGGGAAGTTGAAGACCCGATTCAAAACATGAACCTCCAGCCCAGCCTGTGTGGTTTAGGGATTGAGCATCAACTCATGAACCAGGAGGTCACGGTTCAATTCCCAGTCAGGGCACATGCCCCAGTTAAGGCTCAATCCCCAGCAGGGGGCGTGCAGGAGGCAGCCAACCCATGATTCTCTCTCATCACTGATGTTCTATCTCTCCCTCTCCCTTTTCTGAAAGCAATAAAACCCTATTTTAAAAATACAAAATAAAACACACATGAACGTCTAAATCTAACAAGACTGGGTTCCAATTCTACCACTTACCAGAATCTCCCACAGTCACTCAACGTTTTGAGCTTTAGTCACACAAGTGATTTTTAGTTTCTCCATCTGCAAGACAGTGAACCTAACCTTTACGGCCCATGGATTTATGAGGATAAAATGCAATGAGGGTGGGAAGCCCTGACTCCATGGCTGGGGCTCCATAAACGATCCCTACTATTCGTCTGAGTGGCTTCCTTCCTGCCCTCCAGAAATGCAGAGTCTGGTAAGAAAAGAGGATTCATAGGCTAATACACAAATGGTGATGGCACTAAACAGAGGGAGATAAATGCAGGGTGAGTCGGAGGGAGTTGCCATTTGATCAAAGGAGGGGGAAATTACGTTGGTTCCGGGAGACCGGGAAAGGGCGCCGAGGGAAGTGGTGTTAAAAATAGATTTCTAAAAGTGGACTTTTAAGGGAAGGCTCTCCAGATCTAGGTTAAATTGGTTCAAGCCTGAGTTATGAGCTTAGTTTTAGATGTGTCCAATGTGAGCAGGAAAGCGAGCACATGTCAGGACCAGCCCTAGCCCCAAGGGACTTTTCAAACGTGTGAAATATGCGCTTCCAGCCAGCAGCTGCTCCGCTGTAGCCAAGCAGTGAGAACGGAGACAGTGAAGCACATCTGGGGAAGAGATGTTGTCGCCCCGGGTTTAGGAGCAGAGATGGGAATTGAATGATGGCTGTGTATCTGATTAGCTCGCCCGTTCATTTGTTCGTTCATTTGTTCATCTGTTTATTGAGCGGGCACTGTTTGAGCACAGACTGTTCGCTGGCCACAGTGCTGGGCGGTCTCACGTTAACTTAGTACTTACTGATGAGTACTTGGTCTTCATTTGAGCTCCTTCTGCGTTGGCTGCTCTGCCCCCTCTTGTCAGCCTGGGCGTTCAGCCTGGAGAGCTGCCAGCGAGCCCACCCCACCAGACCAGGCTGTTGCTCTAAAGCAGTGGTTCTCAACCTTCCTAATGCCGCGACCCTTTAATACAGTTCCTCATGTTGTGGGGACCCCCAACCATAAAATTTTCGTTGCTACTTCATAACTGTAATTTTGCTACTGTTATGAGTTGTAATGTAAATATCTGATATGCTATATGTGTTTTCCGATGGTCTTAGGCGACCCCTGTGAAAGGGTCGTTCGACCTCCAAAAGGGTCGCGACCCACAGGTTGAGAACCGCTGCAGTCTAAAGGCTGGGAGATTGGAGAGTAGAGCAACTAGGAATATGAAGGTTGGGTCCATCTGTGCTGGCTTGGAACTGTGGTCTAGTGACCTTGGACACGACACCTAAACTCCTTGTGCCTCTAATGTCGCATCTGCGCAACAGGGATGATGGTGGTCACTGCTTCCTGGGCCAGTGGTGAGGATTCGATGCTGCATGGCGTGTGATGAAGAGCTTAGCCTATGCCTCATCTCAGAGAAAGTCGGTTCCCTGCTGCTGGTTTGCGTTACTATCATCATTAGTATGGCTGTTATTACTCCCTGCTGTTAGTAGGCCTCTGCATCTGAGAAAAATTCATACTCATTTTTCTTGTCATGTATTTTTTTATCTTGTTGTATTTACAAACTGGTCATTGATGTCTGCTAAGCGGCAAGCGCTATGCAAGCGATACAAAAGGAATAAGATATAAGATAGCCTTTCAGCCCCCAGGACTTGACTATCCTGTAGGGAAACAGATGGATTAGGTGCCACTGGGAAATTTACAACATGAACTTCTGCCCATGTGTTCCCTTGCTCTTGTTTGCTACATGGAGGGGATTTCTCATACTATGAATGCCTGTTGTCCCTGGCCTCCTATGGGATTTCCTATAGCTGTCATTTGCCCTGGAGATGCCATCCCATGATGAAGAGGAGAGAAGGCCTATCTGTAAGTGTCCACGAGAGCTGAGATTGCCCCCAAAGTAAGACAGTGATGTCGGGAAGTGTATCCTACAAGGAAGGAGGCCCCGAGGTGGGGCCGAGTTAGAAAATCCCAATTCTGGTTCTTGCTTCCATATTAACCAGCTGGGTGATCCTGAGCCAATGAATCACATGTGCTCTCTCCAGGCTTACTTTCTGAGTGACAGAGGACGGGACAGAGTCAGTGTTTCTGCCACCACAGTATTGGTTACAAACACAGGTTCCCAGGACCCAGCCCCAGGGGTTCTCTTCAGCAAGTGGAGTGGTCCGAGGAGCCTGCATGATGGATATGAGCCCCTGAGGGTGGGAACAAGGGGGCCGTGGTCACTGGGCTCTCTCATCTCTCGGCCTCCTTCCAGCTGTTGTTTTTGTGAGCCTCTGTTACTTTCCAATCATTGCAACAGATATTGTACCAGCTTGGGAGACACCTTTGCTCTAAAATTGTAAATACTTGCATCTGATTTCACCTCCTCAACCTTCCTAGGCTTTCAAATATCCCATTTCTCAGTGTAAATGTCCACACCCCAGCATCCTTTCCAGGCGAGTACTGACAAGGACAGCCTCCTTTCCTTCTTGCTCCCAGTGGTAGAGGAAGAAACAGCCAGGCTACCTGCAGACCCCAGATTCAGAACAATGACTCCAAACAGAGAATGGGCTTGACGTGATATTAATCAGACGATGATTTACTAACATGCTCTGCGTTGAAATGTGCATTGCCAGCAGTTGTGGCTTTTTTTCTTCCCTGTGCTATGATTGCCTCCCGCTCCCTTTCAGAGTTTCCAGTTCTATGTGGATCTTGAGAGTGAGAATGTTTAATAATACCCGACAGCTAATTAATCCTCACTGAGTAATGAACCTGTTCTATTTCAGTGCTGGGAGGCTCGGCTTTTCAAAGCAAGAATGTGGCTTTTTTTTCCTTTTTTTTTTTTTTTCCTGGAAGGTAGCCTTTCAAATCCAATCCCTCATTACCCAGAGAGACTATGAGAAGCACTTCTATGAAAACAGTATCTCCTGCTCAGTATCATAATATTCAAAGCAATAATCATGATAATTGAACAATTACACCTTACAGCTATACAGTGCCATTTATATCACAAAGTATTTTCTTACCTCATCCCTAATTCAGCTTTGGAACAGCCACTGAGAAGGGCAGGACAGGTATTTGGCAGGTGAAAATGCCGACATCTCGTATTTATTGAGCATTTGCTATGTTCCCTGCACCATGCTGGACAGACACACTGTTTGCATTAGCTACCTCATGACGTGTAGTTCACTGTTAAAATGCCTATTGCACAGATGAGGCTCAGAGGAGTTAAGTAACATGCCCAGATCATGCAGGGCTAAGAATCAAACCTTGATTGACTTGGCTCTGGGATCTGAGCCCTTAAACACGGTGCAGAATCAGAGAGACTGTGACTTGCCCAATGGCCATCGACTGGTTACTCTAGAGCTGGGACTAAAAGTCAAGAGCTCTGGCTCTTCAACTTGGACATACATCCGGCATTTGGAATGGTTTTCTTAAAATGAGTGCCATTATTATTCCAGGCCAAGGTGTCTCTTCCTTTCTCCCTCTCCCTCTCCCCTCCGCCCCCCTTGACTTTCCGGATCCCTGACAGCAGCGTGGACAAACAAAGGCCTTGAGGTCTTATGTAGAGGCACTGAGCAAGATCCTCTTCTTTCTCAGCCTCCCTTACCCAGAAGTAAGAGGCCCTCGGAGCTCTTTCTAGGCCTGGAAGCTCGTAGTTCAAGTAATTGAATCAGCTGGGATGGGAGCTGGGTGGTGGGAAATCGCACTTGGCACACTGAGCCTGGAGTTATGATTTCCTTCATTATGGTTGCCTGCCAGTGCCTTGGGAACCTAGGCCAGGTTGAAATTTGCTTTTAATCAGATATAAGTGTAGAGTCCAGAAGGTGTGAGCTCCCAAGCTGTGATGTGTCATAACCTCCCCCCAAATGAAGGGGATGTAATGAGCTCACGTTCTCATGTATTTTATCCAGACGTGCCTTACAGCTGCTAATAATAATTATTATAACAGCCACATTTATGGAGTGCTTGCTATATGCCAGGTGCTGGATTTTCTATCCTTACATCGTTTCATCCTACCAATAACTCTCCCAGGTAGGTCTGTTATTCTTTCTGGATTGTCCTAGGTTTTATTCCCTCATTTCATTTAAATCTCTGCTCAAGTGCCACCCTTCTCAGAGAAACTCTCCTGGAATGCCCAAGAGAAAAGAGCCTGCTGGCCCTGGCCAGATAGCTCAGTTGGTTAGAGCCTTGTCCCAATACACCAAGGTTGTGGGTTCAATCCTCAGTCAGGGTACATACAAGAAGCAGCCAATGAATGCATAAATAAATGGAACAACAACTCTCTCTCTCTCTCTCTCTCTCTCTCTCTCTCTCAAATCAGTCTTCCCATTCACTCTCGGTGCCCTTACCCTGCCCCTTCTCCTTAGCTTTTGTCCTCACCTGTTACATCATGTGTCCGC